TCCCATTTCCCCACAATAGAAAATGCATAGTAGAATAATAGAAAGTGTGACAGGCCAAAGATCCAAAAGAAAACATGGCTGCGGGCCTGACATTCTTGCTATAACTATTGCTTGCTTAACAAATTCAAATTCAAATTCAGAATAGCACTGGAAAGGACCTTAGAGGTCTTCTAGCCCAACCCCCAGGCTGGAGACCCTCCACTATTTCAGACACATGGCTGTCCAGCCTCTTCTTAGAAACCTCCAATGATGAAGCACCCACAACTTCTGGGAGGTGTGAACTCCCAATGAACAACCATTCTTGGGTTCGGCAACTGTGAGTGGTGATAATGCTGAAGGAATGGTAGTTATGACCTGTCCTCCAAGTAACAACTGTTTCAGGTCGCATAATCAAAATTGGGGTGTATGCCAGCCCACCCATATTTACCATTGCAGTGTACACTGCATGCCCCCACCCATTTATCTTCCCCCTCCTCTCTGCCCCTTTGGCTGCCCTGCTCTCCCTCCCTGCCTTACAGAGGCCTCAAGAGGTGGTGCAGAGGCCTTGCAAAGGGTCAGAGGTCCTCTGGGAACAGGGGAAGGGGTGGCAGGGGCAGGTAGTTGAGACAGCATGCAGGGGAAACCCAAAAGAAGACTATTTCATTCTTTAAATTTCCCAGCCATCCCCAAAATGAAACCTTGATCCCAGCTACTTCTGGAGCAGAGCACACTAGATACGGCCCTTGGGGCAAATTATGTCCTCCTAATTTAGCACCTTATAGGAACCCAGCCGTTGTGATTTTGAAGCCATATAATTTAAGGCCTTAAGGCTTTGTTGGATTTAATAATCCATGATTTAGCCTAATATGAGCCCAGCCACAGACTCATTGATTTAATTGCTCTGCCATGTGATATCAACCAGTTCACTGGGTTAGGGTTAGCTGAGAAATTCTGGGAATTGAAGCCCACGGGTCTTAAAAGTTGCGATGTTTGGAGATCCCCGCAGTAGTCTTATTTCAGGAGAGTAACGTTAGGGCTTTCCTCTGGAGTCGTTTTCTTAATCTGCTCTTCCTCATAAGGATGGCATCAGTC